GCATGTATATACAACTATACGAGTATGTCTGTAAGTCTCATGCATCTTAACAACAACCATTTGGGCGCTCTCACTGCGCTTGTCGTGCCTATTCTCACTTTTCTCCACCCATCTGCATGCAACTAATGTGTGTACATTAGGGTGGTCCAAAATGCATGTGAAAAGTAGAGTCGAAATTTTAATGCTCTCACCCCCCTAGGTTTGTTCTACACCGGAAAAAATTATAATCCTGTTTTTTTTTTACCCAAAGCGCTGAAAGTTTTCCATGTATTTTATATGGGAAAAACAAGTATTCGTAGAAATGGTATGGGGCCCTGTAAAAAATAGTTAATAATAGAAAATGGTTAAATATACAATTGAATATTGTTAGTAAAAATCTCCTGAAGAGTAACAAAGTTTTTCGATCGCAAAAAATATTGAGTTTCAAGAATTACAGAGGTATAAATGTGTTCGCTATAGAATAATCCAAGGGTGTGAGGACATTAAAATTCCGACTCTACTTTTTTTTTGACCACCCAATTGAACATACATACATTAGGGAGTCCCACAAAAAACTTCTTTGGACGCTTTCAACCCTAGAAAATCTTTTAATACGTGAATTTTGAAATCTTTGGCAGTTGTTTTCGATGGCATTCAATTCTCGTGAAAGCATTGATCCGTAGTTATAGATAAAATAGAAGTAGGTTTCAATGACCCAGAAATAGTCAGATTTTACTGGAAATCGATTCCGTACTTGGTCCTCTTGCAAATGAGGAGGCGAATAAGAGGGCAAATACCAGTTTTAGTCCGTGCTTTAGTCTGGTAATTATGTCAAACGATTAGCTGTAGTGTATTTGAAACCTGAATTGTAAAGAAAAGAAAATTACACTTTGCTAATGCATATTGAAAAATATTTAATTACCTGTTTGAGTGGATTCTAATGATTTTGTAAAGATTTTTAATTATTTAAATAAATAAATAGGCAAAATTTGGAGATTATATTGAAGTTTGTCAGAAGCTACCATTTTTTACTAGAAAGCTATCCAGTACTTTTTAGTGTTACGCTCCCGCTCTCGGGTAATTTTCCATTTGTGGTATATTTAGTCAATTTAAGATGCATTTATCTTCTAAGAAACGTTTCAAGGATAAAATTGGGAATGTGTGCTATGAAATCTTCTTTTCTAAAACTTCATGTAGTTGTAGGCGCTTCACTTGTTTAAAGTCATCAAATTAAGATTTGTCAACATTTTCATTTCATTGGGATTACTCAATTACCATCTCTTCTAACTGAAACCTGTTCCTAGTGCGTCTATTATTGAAGAAGTTATGATATCAAATAAAAGTTTACTTTTTATTAAAGCGTGCTTATTCAAATGACTGGTCATTGACGTTAATCATCATTAAATTGTTAAGACATCAATAACAAATTAATCTTCAGATCGAAAATTTTCCTGCGACTTGCTTTTTGTAAATAAAAAACAACTTTCAAAGACATTTTATTGCTCATGCAACTGCTATCAGAAATTTCCCTAAGAGAAGCCCTTCAATTTGTGCCACTCCATAGAAAAAAGAAAGGAGAAAGGAATGTAGAGTGGAAGGTCTCTTGACTCTCAGGAAGGCCATTCGGAAGGGCTTTTAACTCGTGAAATTATCTACTGGGAAGTAAAACCGTTTTAGGGGTGGATCACTGAAATTAAAAAAAGGTTTGTGACACACCCTAATGTACATGTTGCCTATATACATAAGTCACTCATTTGGCGTTGCTCTCTCGGTTTCATTACCATCATTTAAATTTGCATTTATGATGTACTTACATATGTTTATAGCTAAATAACATCGTGTTTTTGTCTAGTCGCTGGCGTTAGCTTTTTGTCGTTGTTGCTGCTGATGTTGATGACCACCAACAATCAACCACAACGACGACCGGCAGGCAACAGCAGCAACTATTTGTACATTGCTGTTTGCCTGTTCCGATGGCTTGTATGTTTTGTATATAATGTTGTGCGATGCACAAGCGCAATGCCTACCTACCACTATAATTTACATATTTATCGGTATTTGCTGTTTTACACATATTAAATTCAAAGCGTTTTTATATTTAAAACAAGCGTAAACATAAACATATGTAAATGATATGTAAATACATATTGCAAACATACTCGTATATGCATGAACATTCATACATACATATGCTAATTTGAGTAAGAGCATTAGGGTGGTCCAATCTAAGTGCTCTCCGAATTTTAATGCTCTCACCCCGTAAAATTGTTTTATATCAAAAATATATATCCCTATTTATTTATTTTGAAATCAAAAGATATTTAGAGGTCGCTCAAAGCGCTCAAAGTTTTCCATGTATTTTACATAAATGGGAAAAAAAGACTTTTCGTAAGAATGGTACCTATACAATTCTTAAAAATCAATATTTTTCGTTCGGAAAACTCTGATTCTCTTCAGGAAATTTCCAAAAACTATACCCAATTGTTTAAAAAAATTATTGGGTATTATAACTGGGAATCTTCTGAAGAGAAACAGTTTTCCGATCGCAAAATATTGATTTTTAAGAATTCTATACCATTTCTACGAAGTGTTTTTCCCCATATATCTAAAATACATGGAGTACTTTGAGCGACCTCTAAATATTTTTTGATTTCAAAATGAACAAGTAATTTTTAAGCAAAAAACAAAGCCGACTTTAATTCTCATATAAAAATTTAAGATTATCGTTAATCTCTTCATGATTCAATGATCGGATTTAAACCAAATTAGAATGGGACCAGCTGTAGGTAACACCTTTCCTTTAAAAAAAAATTACAGAAATCGGTTAACGTGGTCCAAAGTTATGCTATATCATACATTAAAAAATAACAATAATAAATAAAATATTCCAAAGAATCGACAACATTCCTCTCTTTTGTGAAGTCGGCTAAAAACAGGGGTATATTTATTTCGGTATAGAACCATCCTAGGGGGTGAGAGCGTAAAAATTCCGACTTTACTCTTTGGACATGCATTTTTGGACCACCCTAATGTACATACAGACAGCCATCCCAGCAAGAACGACCTAACGCATTCTCCAATACACTTACAAAATTTTCAATAAAAACCAACTCATTTGCATATTAGCGATATCCATGTGCCATTCTTTGCGTTATATAACACGTTATTAATCACATAATAATATTTGATTGAAAAGAGACCACTATATATAAGATAATATAATAGCGAATTGCATATAAAAGAAAGAGAAAACTGCTCACACGTGAGACGATTATGCGTTAGATTTCTCCAGGAGCCCTATGTAAAATGATGGAAAATTTTTGAATTTCTCACGTATGTATGTACGCGCGTAAATATGTACATACATACATAATAGAGGGCTGCATGAATTCATTCAAACTGCTAGCCAAACAGAGAACAGTAGATTTAAATATTTTACTTCACATACAAAACACTCAGTGTTTGGAATTTTGTATGTTATGAATATACATTTTGTTTTATATTTTCTACCTTCAAATGGAAGAATGTAAATGAATTAATGGAAAACATCCAAATCATTCAAACTCATTTCGGTAAAAGTAAAAGTAAAAAAGCTGATGCAAACTTTGCAGCATATCTGACGAGATTTTAACGCCTGAGTCAATCGTGGAGGCTATGCTACGAAGTAGCGAAAAATGGTTGGCAGCATGTGACAGAATAGCTGAGGCGATGAAAGGGCTAAGGACCCCCGAATAGCTGTGGCATAGCAGCGGCGACTAACTACCTTTCTCCCTCACGATATAGTGCTTGAAGTCATCCCCGTGGGGTGCGGGGTTCTAAGAAACAACATGCTTTTCCAGTGAAAAAACTTTTAAAGTATAAACAGAACGAGTTCGCTGAAAAATTTTCGTCGGACGGAGCGATGCTGCCGGGTGATATTCTCTTAACATTTCCTCAAGTAAAACTGAACCGTAACAATAACTTAGTCCCCTTACAAATATTGTGGCGAATTGTCCTTAAAAAACCTGCTAGTTTGAAAATAAAAAAATGCTATAAAAAAGCCACAAAGCTCAATTCTAAATTTCGAATCTAAACGGAAAAGAAAAAAAAGCTAGATCTAGCCTCTAAAAGGTTTAACTGGCAACACTGGTTAGAGCATACAAAAAAAAAATTAGCAATTCATCGCGCAGAGCAAATGAGAAAACATGTAAATATGGTAATGAGAGTACCGTAGTTGTGTGTACACTCTCAGTCATTTGAATAGCACACCCTTTTGATGCTCAGTATGTAGAATTTTCTTTTGATTGTTTAATATTAATTTTAAAATGTTATACAAATTAAAAAAAAACACATGTCAACAAAGGGGTGTGCTATCCCAATGACCTACAGTGGATAAGTTAATAATATTTTTAGACACTATTTTTTTATTTGTTGACAGTGTCATGCTTTTTCAAAGTATGCTCGGCAAAATTTTTATTTAGAAGAAAATTCGCAGCGCCGTGTAAAAAAAAAAACAAACATTTCAAAAATCAACGACATATTGTAGACACTCGAAACTTTATTATACTAAAGTTGCATGGGCTACAAAACTGCATACCCAAAATTTTTCGAAAAATATGATTAACTTATCCACTGTAGGTCATTAGGATAGCACACCGCTTTGTTGCTTTGTTGTTATGCGGGTTGAAAAGCATACTCACTGTGACGGTTTCTGTTAAAGTAGTTATCTTCCATCATCAATTTCGATTACCATATTAATTAATACCTATAATTATAATCATCTCATAACCGGGGTTGAAAATTATTTTAAAATTTATTTCTTCACAAGAGTTTTTTGCAGTGTACTAGTTCTATCAAAAATCAAAAATATTGGCATATATTTTGGCGGTGTACACCATTTTCATTGTGCATTTAATTAGTAAACCACTTCTGTATTATTCTGTGCAGAAGTTCTCGCGTACACTTCCCCAATCCTTTAAATGTTCGATGACAGCACTTTATTTAGATATGTATTAAAAAATAAAATTAAAAAACAGATTACAACTTTTTCTCAGTACTTGTTTTATATTTTATTTTCAACGAATGTTTTCCTAGGTTTCATTGTACAATAACAGTTTCTTTTAAAGCTAAAGTAATGAAATCTATTTACATAGTTATATGTATATGTAGGTAGGTACATATGTTTGTATGTATGTTGTCCTTGTAAGTAAGTGTATGTTTATGTGAATAGTTTCTATCAAATCATAAAATTTTAACTCCAATCAATTTTCATATAAAATCCTTGTTGTTAAACACATTCTAAAATCAAGTTCATTTAAAAATTAGCATTGAAGTAGGCCATATATGTACATATGTAGGCAGGATAATTAGAAATAACAAGAAAGTTTGTTGTAAATAGAAATTCACAAAATGAACAGCATACAGCGGTTAAGAATTCAGCTTTAAGATCCTTTATGTATATGTAAATATTACAAACTTGCTTTGCTTTATTGGCTAAAGAAACTAAACTTACATAAGTCATATACTATAGATATAGTAAATTTGTTATTTTTTTTTTTTAATTCTACTATACAGCCCGGCAATTTTTGTTGTAATATAGGCAAACTCGTTTGCTTTCTTATGTATGCCTTTTTTGTTAGTAATTTCTCTAGATATAACTTTCTCTAACTATTTTAATGTTAATTCAGCAAATTTGTAGGAATTACGAACAGCCTCGGTTGTACTACTATGCTTCCCAAAACTCAAGTTACATACATAACTCAAGCATAAAGGCCTTCAATGATATCGGCATACTGTTTGGAGACAACATTACGTTTCACCTTCAAAGTCGGACCTAAAAAAAAATTAAGTAATCGCAATTTAAAATGTTTCCACTAAAAAATAATTGGAAAATAGCATTAGGATAGTTATTGTGCTCACCCAATTCACCCGTTGGAATGGAGAAGTCATGTGGCAGTATTGCGAATTTCTGCACCTTCTGCGCATTGGAAATGGCCAGCTTGTTGGCACGCTTAATGGCATCCTCAATAGATTTCCACACTTTGGGGCAGGGGCCAGCCTTCAGAATTTCACTCAATGTCTTGTGTTCAACACCCAAACTCTTCACCCATGTGAGCGACTCATGCGAGAGATCGTCGAGTGGGGCGCCAGTTTCGATATCCATTTCGGTCTGAAAAATGTAAAATCAAAATTTGTTACGAAGATATTAGGATATCAAACACACCTTTATTGTCAGCAACACGGTGAGATACTTGCGTTGCTCACCCACCAAGAAGGCATTCGATATGCCTTCCAATTCTTTCTTTATCAAATTCTCAATATGCACTGGTGGTATATTTTCACCACCGGCTGTGATGATGATCTCCTTGGAGCGGCCTGTGATATAGATGTGGCCTTTGTCGTCAATATAACCCACATCACCAGAGTGCAACCAACCGTCTTCGTCGAGCGCTTCAACGGTTTTCTCTTTGTTGTAAATGTAGCCCATGAAAACGTGTCGACCGCGTATGCAAATCTGTTCAGAAAGATTAAAATTCCAATTGAATATTTAATAATGGCCAGATATATGTATATGTAACTTGGTGATTCGCTTTTTCTTGCGCACTCACCTCACCGTGTCCATTTTCGTCTTTGTTGATTATTTTCGTTTCACAACCAGCCAACGTTTTGCCAATCGAATTGAGCGGTTGTGTATCTGGAGCGCATACTGTATGGCAACCACCAACTTCCGACATACCAAAAGCATCCAAGAGTTTCAAATCTAAGCTGAGGAAATACTTCTTAGTCTCAGGTGACATGGGCGCCGCAGCGGTGACAAGTGTAATAACACGATCGAAACCAAGCGCTTGCTTCACCTTGGACATAACCAACTTCTTAGCGATATTATATCCAAAGCTACCGGGGCCTTTGCTGTGGAGGGGATAAAACGAAAGAAAGGTTAATAAAGTTTATAGAAAATAGAAAAATCATATGTAAGTAGTGCGACACGAGGACAAAGGTGCTACGAGGGAGGGCAGATATTCTTGGAATAGATAAATTGGAGTGGTAAAATGGTTACTTCTTTTTTGAGCTATGACATACTACCTGATAAAAAAAACATCATCAAATTAATAAGAATAAGATCTAAACCATTAACGGGACCTTTTGCAAAATCAAAAACTTTGATTTACAAATAGCGTACTCTATTAAAACAAGGGAGAGATTCGGTTGAAGACGATCTTTGGTGAGATTGGGTGATTGAGGTGATGTCCTCATACATGTCCAAAAAGCCAAAAACTAGTCCTTAAAAGTGACGTTCGAAAAGGAAACAAATAGCAGAGATGGTTGAAGACCATATACTACTACAAAGAACATACTCGATGATCACATTGGTACTCTTGTATCGAAAGTCAACGAAGTAAGTAAGGGTCACCAATCAACACAATAGAAACAGCAGTAAGAACACAGATGAAGTTATGAACAAGGTTATTACTGTGTGGCGAAGCAGTTCCTTTTTGGGAGACCGTATTAGAAACGATTGTGTAAGCAAGTGGCGATCAAAGAGAGCTTTTAGGGTGGTACTATCATTTGCGAAGCGAATGAATTTGGCCAAATGCGTCTCTTCAATTTATAGAAAGCCTTAAAAAGCTTCTCTCGCAAGAAAAATTATGGTCAAAAAAATCTCAGTGCTCAATAAGAAAGTTAAGATGTCCAATACGTAAAAACGATGGAAAAGAAGGATAGAAAAATAACCCGAGTTGAGCTATGCTCCATATACATATATAGGCCGCAATTAGCCTTTTCAAAATTTTCTCCTTCCAAATGTATGCATATGTACATCGTTATGTGCGTTGGTATGCTTACGAATATTTGTACTAACGGCATTTTTATCGAAATATTAGAAAATAAAGATATCGTAGTCGACTTTCAGCGATATTATTTTCTATATGCTAGTAAATTTATCAATATTTTTATCTACTAGTTATCGAAAATATTACCGATAGTAATAAGTGCATCGATAAATATGTCGTTACATACGTATATTTACCTACATCGATTAATCTTGTATCTATCGACATCATTGTCGATACACATATTCGAATAGAAGGATATTGTAATCAATTTTTCATCAACATCGGAATTTCTGCGTTTTCATTTTTAATGCAGAAACGAATTTATATATTTTATCGACGATATATCGAAATATTAATCGATATGTTATCGATATATTATCGATAAATTTTCGGTTTTGTTGTCAATAAATTTAACAGTACCTAATTGTATAAGTACAAATATTCTGCGCGGCTAACAAAAATTGTGCAGCCGGTAAATTTAGCCATTTTAGTATTTTTCAATTTGTCGATTACATAATGTTCGCTAACGTTCATAAAAGTCTTGCTAATAGCATAATTTTCGATGTATCTGAAATTTTTTATCGATATCAGTAATAAACTCACAAAATGCTTAACCCTTTCAGCATAAAAAATTCAATAAAAAATTAATAAATCTGTCGGCTTCACCGTTATCCAGCGCACATTATAATGGAAAGCTGTGGTATCGCTGGTTTGTAAAATGGGAAGTGATCTCAATTAATTTTATTTTTTCTATGGCGAAATATCTATCGAAACTTTATATAATATTTAAATTCCACCGAAGCGTGGTTAATTTTTTTCCAATATATTCCACTGTTCACTATCGACTTTTCTGACGCTTCAAAAAAAAAACAAATAGAGAAACTGCGTGAAGAAGAATGATATATTTTGCTCCAAACAACTGTTCCTTTAACCACAAATGTTGTTATTTACGAGAAAAGAGCTTTAAGCACAAAAATAAGTTTGTCCGATATATTGGACACTTGCACCGAAAGGGTTAAGATGATAATATCGAATATAATTGTCATTTGCCAACTTTTAGCTAAATTGTTTCTCAACACCTCAAAAACATTACTCCAACCCGCCTATGTTCACTTGAACTTAAACCATTTTTCTAAACCCATTCAACTTTCCTTTCAACAATTGACAATCGATTAAGGACAGCGGGCAAACAACTCAACTCATGCATTACTGGCTGCTAGATGACAGTTCACTTATGTCATTATACTCACCACAGCACAGCTGACGGTGTGTTAATTAAGCGCAATTACTCAACGCTTAAATGTTAAACACCACTCATGTTAACGGGTAAACGATAGCCATTCCATCATACAGTGTGGCAGACATTGAAGCTGCCCGACCGGCAATCAGACAACGCCAACCAGTTAAGCGAGTAAATGACAATAACGTGTCGTACATTAATCAACCGAGAAAACTACACAGTAACACATGCCCACACATAACGTGGCTCTCTTTGGTAAATATAAATAAAAATACAACCCCCCCCCAACTCACCCATGTGTCTCCATGTAATGACGCAGCGTCACACCCTTAGCCCAGCTGGCGAGCGCCTTTTTCAAACCACCACTCGACGAGCCAACGGCCACCATACGTTCCTGGAATTTTTCATAGACACGCGGTACACCCATAAATCGTGTGGGGCGCGCATCTTGCAGTGTCTTCACCAGTGTGCCCTTCAAAGCATCCTTGTCGGCGAAGTAAATGCAACCGGCTATGGAACCTACTGTGTAAATATCCACAGTCTGTGCGGCCACATGGGAGAGCGGCAGATAGGAGACGACCACCTCAGCGCCGGCGATAATATTGTGCAGCGACTTGGTAATAGCGCGCGTATTGAAGTAGAGGTTGTCGTGGCTAAGCATAACGCCCTTGGGCATGCCCACTGTACCAGACTGTACACGACGAGAGAAAGAAGGGAAGGAAAATAAAGAATACGATTAGCGAGGTTGATAAGTGTGTAGGAAGCAATTGGTAACTCATGCGTTTAACTAAGAAGCAATTTGGTTTTGGATGCGGGCGTACGAAGTACTGTCTGTCATAACATAAGCTCCATGTACAAACAAACGCAAAACTTAAAAAATCGTTTGAGTTTAGCGTTCGCCTCTTTAATCTACCACAACTAATTACTTACCGTGTATACCAGACAACAGCACTGGTTGATGGCAATATTCTCCAGACGCTTCTTGTATTCCTCCTCGACATCAGCAACCGTCATTGCTTCAATTTCCGACCACTACGTCGCAGGGTAGAGAAGACAAAATTAATAGCTTTAAAAAGCTTAAAGCGCCACTCCAAACTTACCCTATAGTAGCCATCCTCTTTCTTCATATACGGCGCATATGGTTCTTGTATTTGAATAGCCGCTTTCAAATGTGGCAACTTATCTCTAATCTCTTTAATCTTATCCATTTGCTTGGACTCGTCGACAATGACGATTTGTGCACGCGAATTTTCCAAAACGTGGAAACAAGCCTCCGCTGAGTTAGTCGTATAAATTCCAGCGATAATACCACCAGCGTGTATGGCACCCATGGCGGAGTAGAACCATTCGGCGCAATTAAAGGATAGCACACCCACTGAGTGATGCGGCTCCAGTCCGAGCTTGATGAACGCCTTGGCGGCTTGATGCACTTTTTGTTCATATTGCCTATTTCGCAGTTCCGCAGCAAAGTCGATAAATTAGAGGAAAGAGGAAACAAAGGAATTAAATAGTAAATTCAAAACCAAAAGTGTGAAAATTTGTCTTAGTCTAAATGGCAATGAAGCGTGAAAATATGGCGACAAATGGAGAAATGGATTTTGTGCTCTGTGCTAACATACATACATACATACCTACCTTCATACATACATAAATGTGTGTGGAAAGACGATGGTGAGACGGGATAGGAGTAGGTGGATGCAGTGGTACAAGCGTTGCAAGGGTTGTCATAGTTGGCACGTTTAACCAGTAAATTGTGTGTTGAAAAATGAAACCATTGGATTCGCTTTTTACACAGTTGGCTGTGGTGCCAAGGCGAAAAAAAATGTGTGAAAGTGATTTTTTGGAGACCAACAACGGTGCTGGGATTTATGAATGCGGAATCAAGGGGTCATAAATACTGAATTTAAAATGGAAATTTGCAAAGGTGGAATTTATGAAGAAATTCAAGGCTAAAGTTTTTAAATATTGTATGTAAATACTCGTTTCAAATAACTTCTTCTACCAGCCTTGTTGAAGTGAAACTTCTTAATCGAGTTCGGAGATGGTTGCGTTAAATATTTAACACCACGTCATAAAATCTGTATCGTTCGTACGATTTTCAAAAATGAGGTGTCACATGAAAGGGCTTGACCTGTAGATGTGCAGTATGGTTTTAGTCTTTTAAAGAGTTGCCATATATATGAAAATCGAATTCAAATTATTTATTAAGTTAAACGAATTATCCCAATATCGGTATCAAAAGAAATGGTTTTGAATAAGTTGTATTTTCTAGCTAAATGCAGGAGGGTTGCCACCTGTTTCAAAAGTAAAATTTAGTTAAATTATACAAAAGTCTTACGCTTAAAATACTATACAGTACAGAAAGAGCTTACAGAAACACAATTAAAATATTTTTGAGGTGTCTGAAGACGGTGACTACCTGTTCAAAAAGTTAAACTCAAATTATTGAAGCAAATCTTATTATTATAGCTCCGTTATGTTTGCGATAAATATTTAACGCCACGGTACAGGTAGCATATGACGGGTATAGAAAACGAATAGCTGCGTTAAACGCCAATTGGGCGGGAAAAGAGACTAATGCAAAGACAAGAAGATAATCAAAAACAAATATAAAGATAAGATGAAGATGAAGATGAAGATGAAGATGACGACGAAGATGAAGATGAAGATGATGATGAAGATGAAGATGAAGATGAAGATGAAGATGAAGATGAAGATGA